GTAAAGAAGAAAGATTCTGAGAACTTAAGTCTTGTGAATGCTTTCACTTGATTTTATTTCTGTAACTCTTTGTAAAGGGGCAGCTGTTTTACGACTGATTTTACTACGTATTTGAGATACAGTTTTTTCTTGACTGTACCACACAAATATTCAACAGGTAAATAAATTCTTGTGTTCAGTAGTCACAGAATTCGTAAAGCTAAACATGAAATATATAACCAAGATACGAAGAATTGGCTGTAATATGGGATGCTTGGATCTGCATGGATCTTTTCCTTTATCAGCTTTGGTGTGTCTTCCAGTTCTGACACAGCTATCTCATGAGAGGGAATGATTGTGGTTTTGATGACTGAATTGAGGCCTTGACATTGGGAGCTCTTCTTCCATACAGAGAAAAGCTCTGCTTTGATCCAAGAAAGCAGAATTGGACTTTTGGAAGCTTCTTTGGAAGTCATCTTTCCAGTTTTGCATTGAAAATGGATATGGCCCTGCTGCAGAATGGCAGGATCAGACTTTAGCCATCCTCCTCTGGGATAAGGATGTAATGCTTATTCCTGATAATTTGAGAGCATTTTGATGTTGATATATTTTCAGTATAAGGAGTGGCAGTTGTTTATCTCATGACAAAAGGGAGGTTAGGTGAAAGAACCCCTAAATCTTAATGGCTTTGGGGCCAATCCTCATTCAGTAACACAACTGAGAAATGCACTATGATGTTTAGAATTGCCATGCAGAGATCTTTTAGAGAGAAAACAAATAGTAGATGCTAAGTCATCTGTCAGGTACTGCCAGGCGTGAGGATTAACATGCAGCACTGCTGATGTAGGTGAACACACCACACAGAGTTAAACATACGAACAGCAGGCTCGCACTGTGCTTACTACAGATGTCTGAATGAGTGAGTGCCTGTGGGCTGGAGCTGCATGTCTTGTGGCTTTCACTCTGCTCCATTGGGAAGTCTTCACTCCTTTTGTTTTTATCCTTTTCCAGCTCCAGTACTTTGGAGCACACAGCTCCCATCCCCTGACCTAACAGCTCCATTGAAGTGCATTCCAGCCCCATGATTTCATGGTACCAGGCAGAAGTCCCCTGCCACGCTGCTATGCTGCCCGCTGCTTCTCACGGAGTGAACAAACAGGGAACATAAACTCTCTCCAAAGGAGCAATGTTCTCTGTATATTTTTAGTGCAAGAAATCCAAGATTCATTTGAGAGTGTTTTGTGTGGGCTTTTTTTAATATAGACTTCTGCTAACACAATGGAATATTTCATGCCACCCTGTTTGCTGTAACTTCTCATGCTTTATGTTGTTAAATGGAATCAAAGGAGTTAAAGATGAAAGACTTCTAGTCAACTGGTCCCTCAGCTGGGAGCCAGTATGGGTTTGTTCTTTGTAATGGATTTGCTAATGCTTTACTCAGGTTCAGCCTAGCTCAGTTTTCATTATTGGATTTACTTATTTCTGTGAATTCTCTACTTCAGGTTAAGTAATTGCTGAGCTTAGACTGAATATAATACTGCTACTGTTTGTTTCTAACGTTTCACTTGCTATTTATTGCCCTTATATTCAACAAACCTTTTGTAAGTATTTCTTTACCATTTGAACATACAAAGCACCATTAAAGATGTCAAGCTTGCCTTCACAGGTATTCTCTTTAATGGATAGAAAACTTGGTTCTTTCTTTATATGAAACTGTGTCCATTTGACATTGTACATTGTGCTTTCTTTCCAACATGTAGTGTGTCACCAGATGCTAACTTACGTAGTATTACAACAAACCTACCTTTCATTAGCTCATTGTTAGCCTTTGAATATTTGGAGTTATTACAGTATTTGAACATGCAGTTTATGCTGAGACACTGATGTCTTGTATTTTCTTGGTGAAAGACCTTCTCAAACTGCCTGTTTAAATGTCACTATTGCATTTTTATGTATTGAGTGTATTATATTCACATTAGGGGACACAATTTTGCCAATACATCCAATATGTTCATAGTAACATTATCTACAGACTGGACAGTGATCTGAGAAGTTGAAAAGGCAGATAACGAACATGTTATGGGAAACATGGGAAGCAAGGACTGCAGCTGCAATGGATCAGAGTCTGCCCAACTTGGGGACCAGCAAAGTTTCTTGACAGACCTGTTCTCCTCAGGGTGTCAGCACTTTTTGGGTCAAGGTATTGGCACATGAGCTGACCTGTGCTGACTGCACAGAAATTCCTATGCCTTGGTATAACACACAGTTATCCCAGAGCTGCTCCTGCACTGAAGTAGCACCAGCTTCAGGGTCCCGGGGAAAAGTAACATCAGGAGACGTGTCAGGTGATGCTGTCTTTTGCTAGACTGAAGTTGGAAGATGTGCAAGTTTCTGCACTATGCTTTAACTTGGTCATCCTAACATACTTTAATTGATGTGGATCCTTAGTGGATTTTTGGCACATGATAAAGTTCTTAGCTTTTATAACTGTGCAGGTAGAAAACAAATTTTATATAAAGTCACTGGAGTTAAGGCAGTAATAGCTTAATTAGAAATTAGTTTGAAGTATTGTTTGTGAAGAGTGTTGTTAAACAGGCATTTAAATGGGTATCAGAAAGCAAGCCTATGTACCACCAAGTACTGTGGGGAGAAGTAATGGGAAGGAGCATCAGGGTTTGAGCTTAGTGAGGGGAGACATGGACATGAAAAAGGGTTATGTGGTCTGATAAACTGTTCTGGGATCCCAGAAGGGGTAGAACACCATGTTAGTGGTCAACTATTTCCTTCCTGACTTTTTTTGTCTTGGTTAAGAAACATAGGAAGCAAAAGACAAATGTTATGCCTGTTAAGTACCTGTTGCATTGCCTAGCAGCTGCTCTAGGCCTGTAGTAATAGAAGTACAGCTCTGAAGTCCAGCAAATCCCAGGTTTCTATATGACTTCATCTAATTTCTACACATTGGAATGTTGAATGCCTCCTTCTCTAGGAGAACACCTGGCCCTTCTTGTTGTTAACAGGAATCTGGCTGTGGTCCTGGGCCAGGTAGTGGAAGGTGAGTGGATTCTGTGAGTGGTGAGAAATGCTCTGATGTAGATTCCTAGGAAAACAAGGAATCAAATGCCAAGTGAGAGACTGAGTATCATAACTCCATTTTTGTGTAATGAAGAAAAAGGGCACATGGGTGTCAAAAGACTGGAACTCAAGGACTGGAACTGGAATTGCTGTTGGAAGAAGTGGTGTGCTATTCATTGCTTCAAGCACCTTGAAGTTCCTGTGCTGGATGTTCTCCAAGAGCACTTAGAAACTGACTCAAGAATATACTAGAAGTCAAGAAGATATTTGGGATGGGTTGAAGGGGTTGCCATCAAGACTTAAATGTGTAGGCATTTATGTGAGCAGGAGAAATTAGCATGGCAGCTAGCCCAAAGCTTCTCTCATCTGTCAGCACAAACACTTAAACATTGGGTAAGAAAATTGTCTTGATCTGAAACACAAGTTTACTTTAAAGAAAAGAGAATTTTTCAGCAAATTTAGAAAGAAATAGTCTAGGCCTTTATGACCTATAGATCATGTTTAAAAGTAAAAAAGTCCTATTCCATTTGGAAACACTTTCTCATTAATTTTTCTCAAGTCTGAGGCAAAATTAACTGGGTCAATTTGAAGTCCTTTTTTTAATAGTTAAAAGTAATGGTACTTGGCCTTGACTTTTACTACCATTTTGTGTGGTTTAATAGTTGTATGACTTTTTTTTCCCCCCACACACATTTGTAAGAGATTCACAGAAAAGAAAACAGACTACATCAGTAAATAAATTCTTCCTGCTAAGTTATAGATGTTGCTCATAAAAGTTAGCAGGAAAAAATCATGCAGCCACAGGCATAATGAAGTTGATGATCCTGCCACACAGCTGAGTCTGAGGATTTCTATTGTACAGCTTGCTGTGGTGGGGGGACCCTAATTTATAAGTTGAGCGGTCTTGCATGCTCTTACAACTTGGCATGTAACAAGCATTTTCACATAAAACATTGCTGAGCTACTTCTGAATACGGTGGAATTCTTTGGGAAGGGCAGGGAGGTAATTGATCATATGCTGACAGCTCGGAACTCTGAGAAAATGGTCAGATGGAGGGCTGGGATGCAGGAAAACAAACTTTCTAAGATGGTAACTGTCACTTAGCCAAGCTATACATGCTTCAAGCTTTTTAATCTTTGCTCACAACCTCAGCTTCTTAGTCTTTTTTTGTTTTTGTTGTTTCTCTGTGAACACTTTTCCGTTGTTGACATTTTACTGCTCCTGATGCATGGACAGTATTCCAGGTGTGATCTTGAGCTATATCCATATTTCTTTGTAGATCTCTTTTAAAAATTCTATTGCTGCCAAAATAGGGAGTTTCAGAACTTTGATGGTCCCTTTCATTATTCTTTGACCTTTGGGTCAAGAAGTAGTTTTCTTTCAGGAACTGCTCAAAATGTTCTTTGCAGCTAGAAAAATAAGACTTCAATGTTCATGGGACTTAAGATAGAAATCTACTGGGACATTGCATGAGTTTACTGCAAAGATGTTTGAATTTCTCTATGCTGTGACCTTAAGTTTCTATATCAGAGTGGATATAGAAACTGAAGTGTGGGTATAGAAACTAAAGAGAAACATACAGCTTTGGTGCAAAAGAAGAGGAAAAGAATCTACCACTTGGTTTCTGAGACCAACTTTTTGCCAGTCTTGTTTATGGCTGTATTTTTTTGCATATGCAGTCTGACAGCTTTAAATTATGGTAGTTGTCAGTCTCTCTGCTATAAGGTAGAGTATTTTAACTGACTTACTGCAATTATCGGTTCTGAGGTCATTTATATATTAATACACTGACAGGAGGGGAGATTAATATTAATATTAAAAAATTAATATATTTATATATTAATGCACTGACAGGCATAAATTAAGCTTCGTAAATTACTTTAAAATATAAAAGAATCTGGGAAAAAAAAAAAAAGTGTGTGTTAATTTTGCCAATGCTTTGTCATAGAACATGGCAGTGGATCGTATTTTCTCTGGTATCCAGCCAACTGGGACCCCTCATCTGGGTAACTACCTTGGAGCCATTCAGAACTGGGTGAATCTGCAGGAAAAGTGCAGCTCGGTGCTCTATAGCATTATGGACATGCACTCTCTCACCATGCCCAAGGAGCCAGCTGTCCTGCGCCAGAACATCCTGGACACCACTGCTGCCATCCTTGCCTGTGGGATTGACCCAAAGAAGTGTTTCCTGTTTAGGCAGTCACTGGTGAGTGCTCCTGTTGTGTTGGATTTGTTTCTGATTAAGTGTATTTCCACACATCTTAATGAATGAGTGTAGCATTGCTGAACTCCTTTATCATGTTTGTGTTGGTGGTCCTAGAAGATGTTAGCAGTGTCGGATTTTAAACTTATGCCTTGCTTTTGAAATTTTTTGAAATTTGTTGTGAAATTTTGAAGGCTGCAACCATGACTGAGAAGCCCATTTAGGGATAAGTACACTGTAAATTTCTGAAGCAGAGCTAGGAGTTTATGCAGGTTATGAGTAAAATACTTCAAAGACCTCTTTATAAGTCTTACTTTAGTCACAAAAGGTCAACCAATAAATGCATAAACGTGGCCTGTGTAACCATAAAGGTAAGGAAAACACGTTTCTATGCTTTTGTATCAGCTCTTCCCACTCGTTCTGCGAGCTGCACGGTAATCACAAAGTAACAGGTGATTAACATAGTAAGTTTTGTATCGGTTCCATTGTGTTCATCAGGGGGTTACATATTCTCTGGGACTTATTTTCCCTTCTTTGCTATAACCTCCTTTTCATGTGCATGCATTTCCATCTGATCTGGTAATTCGTATGTAAACCATGTGCTTCTCTTGACTACCCTGAGGGGGTACTGGACTTGCCTTCCCACCTGGCATATAGCTATCATATGTTATATTTATCCGGAGCACAACTTTATTTCTTACTCCATGAACTTTCTGCTATTGACTCTAAATTGGCAAACTTCTGTAATTTCCGCAGACACAGATGTGCAATAACTTCTGCTCTTGTGAAGACACCCATAAGTGGATGTCCACCTTGCAACAGAACTGCAAAGGTGATGTGCACACAGGATCTGAATTTTATCTGTGCAAGCCGAAATTGTGTTGCATTCTCCCTTTCAACACAATTCTTTACAGGCAGAGTTTCCTGGGGTTGTTAAACTGCAAATGGCAATCATAGCTCTATATCCCTGGTGAATAATGAATTGATGAAGACAGATATACTTCCTGCTTCACTTTTCCTCTGGAAAAAAAACTGGTGTTAAAAAACCAGTCTAAATAGATGAGCTCAGAATTCTAGTGGAAATATATTTAAATAAATTCACCCCATTTTTTTTCAAATCTGTTTATCATTTTAAATATGTTACCAGCTTGGGTTTTAATTCTCCTCTTCTCTGACTTGTCAGCCTCCAAATGGTGAAGTCATTAGCTGGAATAATTGCAAAGTGAGTTACAAGTCAATGATGCAGTAAAAACCAGTCTAGAGGGTTTTTTTTCTTGTTTTCAAGCAACTGAACAATTCAATTAGTTACAACACAGGATCAGTGACTAGATACACAGAGAGGACTCTTCAGCACGAAGGATAAAGGCTTTGCAAGTTTTGGTTACAGAGGAATAAAGATACAGAGGAATGAAGATTTATAAAACTGCAAGTTATATGGAGAAATTGTTTTATCCACTGAAGAATGTAAACTGACAAATATCAAAACAAGTTAACACCTGGAAGATTCAACACAAGCATAACAATGCTGCATTTAAAAAAAATCCACAACTGGGCTACAAAACCCCTTGACACAGGATACAGTGCGTGCTAAAATTTATACAAATTCAGAAAGGGACTCAACAAATTAATCTGAAAAATTGCTTTGGGACTGTTGCATATCTGAGCAGCCACCTCTACAGGAAGTGGTGAAACCACAGATGGGAGAGTATCCATGCTTTTCTGCACTTACATTCTTTTTTTTGTTGGTTGCTGTCAGAGATGGATATTTGATCTGGTCCAGTGTTGCTTTTCTTATGTTTCTGCTGGTCTAAAAGCTAAACTAGTGCTGTTCCAGGTCTTGCTAAAACCAACACTCAGGCTTCCCTTGAAGCCAGCAGATATCAGTGAGGATCTTACATTGCATTCAGCCACAGAAAGTATGTTGTATCTTTCACAATGTAATGCAGAGATGAAATCTTGTACTCCTAAAGAAAAAGTGTCAGACTCAGGAAATTATGGCTTTGTGTGCAGTGCTTCTACAGTACCAATACAGTCAAAAACAAATGAAAATCTAAGATAACTAAATTTGAACATGTTCAGCTTTATCAAACAAAAACTTCCACCAAATACATTCTGATTTTCCTTATGGTGGTTAGGCTGGCCTCAGTTAAATGGTTTGCCTTTTTACCTTAATTTTTCTGTGTCCTTATCTGTCCAGTTCTAATGTCATCGTTTTTATTAAATCTAAACCATTAGATTAAATGTTTGAGCTGTGTCTGATGTCTTGAATGTTATTCCTACCAATACTTACCACACAAGTATCCATGCAACTTTCAGAGGTGGCTGATTATAGGATATTTTTGAAAGCTTATTGTCACCCTGCAATCAGAAGAACTATCACAGTTGTGTGTGAATGTAGATTGTTTCAGCACTGGTTCAGGCTGAAGGGGTTTGTCAGCTTCCCCAAACCTAGTCTGTACAAGCTGTATTAAGTGGTCAGGTATACCCAGAGATGCACTATGATCTGTTACATTTACATAGGCAGCACCAGATGTTTCTCTGGAAGCAATTAAAAGGAGTATCTGCGTGTAGCTCTTGATGTGAGGAAAGGAGACAGGAACCTTGCTAATGTGATTATTGTTTTAGTATGATAATGAAATAGTACATTATGGAATGTCATAATACCGAGATGATTGTTCCTTAAAATGAAGGTGTAAGATGGATTGCAGCTATTGCTAATCAAGAAAGTTTATTGTTTGATTTTGCTTGGAAATTTCTCAGATTTCAAAAAAAAAAAAAAAAGGAGCTGGCCTTCTTTTCAGCCACTGTAGCAGTCTCCAAGGGTGGTCTAAAAATGCCCCACTTTTGTGTACAAACATTTGCCTGAGGTGTAAAGCAAAGTGACCAAAACTGATTGTATACTGAAATAGGGTATGTACTTCCAGAGGTCAGCAGGAAAGCAGTGAAAATCCAGCCACAAAGAAAGAACTGGATTAGGTATTTAGTTATGGAGAGAGTAAGTTTTTTCAATAGCAGATGAAACTGCTAAATGAGAGAATTCTCAGTAGCTTAGCATGCTGTAATTATTGTTTTATTTTGAGCTCTATCTAGAAAATTACCAAATCTGTAGATCACAGAAATGTTTCTTTAATTACTTCTGAATGACATTTCTGTTCATTTTTTTAAACAAACATCATGCAACAAAATTGCTGTTTATGAACTTTTAGTTTTAATCACCAAAACCCAGCACAACTAATGACTTTTTCTGTACCCTGGTTCTGTAGCAGTAAGGCAGAATGAAATTCTTGCACTACAGAAGTATGGTAGTAATGGTAAGCCCCACTAAGGGAACTGCTCATGCAGTCATTCATGTAAATGCTATTGTGTCCTCTCACTTTCTCTGGATTACACTGGGCAAGAGTGGTCTAGAATTGCTGAAAAAGGGTTTATTTTTGTTGTGGGTTTTTTTTTTGTTTTGTGTGTTTTTGTTCTTTATTTGTTTGTTTGGCTTACTCTTTCTGTATTTTGCTGCTTGTGTTGCTTCTCTGGAATATGTTTGCCATATGTGAAAAAAAATAATGCTACTTGATTTCTCAAAAGGCCTGTGCCTTTTGGTAAGGGTTTCACTTATTTTGCTTTCTTAGGCTTTTTTTCAAACCTCTAATCCAGAGATATCTGAAATACCTGCCTTCAGAGTTTTCACACACTTTATCATCCTTTTCAGTACAAGCAAGAGACAAAAGGCTGAATAATATGAATCACAGACTGACTGCTGGGAGAAACTGTGGTGAGAACAGATACCTCTCATGCTTATACTAAATCCAAAAGGTGCTGTTATGATAAGGATACAGGTGAAGTTGACTTGGAATTCCAGAACAGATTTCAGTGATGTCCTCACCTTTCAACTAAAATTAAATAAAAGTGACAGAAATTTTGCATAGGCAGTTTTTTATTGTATTGTTTAGAAAGCATATGGCCTATGTTCTTATGTACTGGATATATAGCTAAATTACTTATAAATGGAAAGCACTAGTTGGATGAAAATTAGTTTTGTATGCTTCAGAATTTACCATTTATAAATTATATTGTTTTAAAACATGTACAAGCAGTAAGTTAATGGCTGGCTGTATATTTGGTCTTAATACATTGCAGTTCAACAAATACCTCCCACACTTACATTGCCATATAAAAACTTGAATTCCAGCCTAGGGAAGTAGTGGCTGCAAAGAACAAGTGATGATAACTTGAAAATATTTAGAAGGAAGAAGGATGGGGATGAATAATTAGGGTAGTGTTTGGAACCACATTGTCTGTGAAGGGTTATAAACAAGCACATTTAATTAGAATATCTAGAAAAACAATTGTGGTGTTTGTTGGACAGTAAAATGGCCTCCCAGCGAGAGAAGCTCTTACATTACTGCTTGTTTAAGTACATTTTCTCAAATAGGAAGTTATAGAAAAGTGATGATTTTGGTAAGAATAAAAAATAAAAATAATTGCATATTTCATTTTTATTTGGAGTACAGCTGCAAGATGTATTAAGCCTTCTTAGAGAAAATAATGTCAAGATATGCTTTAAGTGGCTGCCTTTGCCTACTGGGCATAAAAAAGAAGTTATGGAATAATGTCTTATACAACATATCGTGAGAGTATTAGAAGAAACAGAAAATATATTCCTGAAGTTGTACCATAACTGATAAAAGCTGTAACAGTCATCTTTCATAAAACTTAGATCTTTTATTGAAACCAAAAAGGACTATGTGGGGGTAAATAAGGAAGAGAGTATGCAATCTGCACACATGGTAAACTTATACGATATAACCCATTTTCTCTGACTTTTGGTGGGTACACTACACATTTCAGTTCTGACCCACAACCATCTTGTATCTCATCTGCTTCACAGTCAAAACAATATTAGAAACTGATTTTGCTTTTATGTGGTCTCAGGCTGCTCTTCCTGTCCACCTATCTATTGTAGTAGACACATGCTGAATGTCCCAAGAGAGACTAAAATTCCATCAGAG